ACGGTCTAGAGGCTCCTATATACTTCAGTTTATTGATTGCAATATTTTTATGAAAAATCTGATATCGTAGTAATATGATTTTTGCAAAGGTATGTACCGAATGTTTCATAAAAATGACACAGGTGAACTTTCAGAAATTTATTGATGGCAATATTTTTATGAAAAATCTTATATTATAGAACTCGGAGGCATTTTGCAAATTTATATACTGAGTGTTTCATAAAAATGACACACGCGGACTAGGATTTTTTTCTCATTTCACTATCTATCTAAATTTTCAAATAGATATTTCTACAGACGGTGTCTTACTAAAAAAATGTTTTTTGCAATTTATGTACGGGATGTTTCATAGAACTGACACAGGTGGACCAGATTTTCTCTGATTCATTTTGTTAATTTTTTCATGACATCTTTTGAAGAAAAGTTGTATATTTACTGACCAGCCGCTTTTTAGAAAATCCATATACGTACTGGGTGTTCCAAAAAATTGATCCACATCTGAAACGGGCAATTTTTCCCCTTTTCACATTTAACTTTGTTTTTATTTACTAAAATCTTTTAATGAAAAATTGTATATTGACTAACCGGATGTCTTTTTGAATCTTTATACTGGATGTTCCACAAAACTGATCCAATTACCAACAGAACGAAACTTTCCTTAGGTATATTTTTTTCCATTTCTACAGTTTGTACTGAAGTCTGGAATATTTTTATGAAAAATCTTATACCCTACCAACCAGGTGTTTTTTGCAATTTATGTACAGGATGTTTCGTAAAACTTACACAGGTGGACTAGATTTTTCCTTATTCATTTTTTGAATTTTTTCTTTAAATCTTTTGAAGAAAAGCCGCTTTTTTAAAAATCCATATACTAGATGTTCTATAGAATTAAGGGCAGTTTTGTTTCTTTTCACTTTTAGCTTTGACTTTATTTACTACAGTCTTTTAATGAAAATTTGTATATTTATCAAGCAGATGTCTTAATTTATTTTTTTACCATTTCTGCCTTACCTACGTAGTCTTTGGATGAAAAATTTTATATTTACTAACCAGATGCCTTTTTTGGAAGTTTGGAAGAAACTTTTCTTATTCTTTTCTCGAGCGGGGCCTACTCTTTTTTGAAAAACATTCTCATCATACTTTTATATACAGGGTGTTTAAAAATCAAAGTACAGGGTATTTAAAAAAATGTTATATCTACTAACCAGGGAGAAAAGCACCGCGGAGCGGTGCTCGGGCCGCGCGCAGCGCGGCTCGAGGGCCGAAGGCCCGAGAGAAAGGTCAAACTCCGCGTCAGCGGAGTTTGCCTGCCTTTCTAGTAAATGTTTTAAATTTCTTATTCCTAAAATATGTCGCATTGTCCAATATACAATTCTCCATTTTCCCATACTCATTCATATAATTTTGCAATACTGATTTTACTGTATCTTTATTTGTTCTTCTACATGGATATAATTTAATGAATTTTGAAAAAATATCAACAAATTTGAAATGAAATCTACAGCTATTATCTGTAAAGGTCTCTGTGCAATTATAGATTTTGGTGTCCCTTTATTATGCAATTTTTATTTTTAACTAATTGACATGTATTACATGTTTTTACAATATCCTTTGTTAATGTTCTGTCATTCTTTGTATAATAAGTCTCTCGAAATATTGTCCATGTCTTGTCAACCCCTATATGTCCATATCTTTCATGTAAATTTTTAATTATATCCCTTGCTAACTTTTTACTTATTGCATATAGTTCTATGTCATCTATTACTTTATAGTATACTCTATCTTTTAAAGTCAATGTTCTTTTTTCCTTATCTGTTAATGTTCCTTGATCTTGTACTAAAATCTGATTTGAAAATATACCCCCTGTTTGTCTCAAAATATTTACCCCTATTTTAATTTGTCTCCTTTCAGTTTTATTAATTTCGTCCATTCGAGTCAATGCGTCTGCCAAAATATTTGTTCGTCCTTGTATGTATTTAATGTCATAATCATACTCTTGTAACAATAATGCCCATCTATGTATTCTATTATTCCCAAATTTATTATTCAATATTGACGTTAATGCCTGATTGTCCGTATATATTGTAAATTTATTACCTAATAAATAAAATCTAAATTTTGATACACAAAATATAATACTTGCCAACTCTAATTCTCCAGTACTATAATTTCGTTCATGTTTTTTAGTAACCGTTGTTACAAATGCTATTGGTGCGTCTTTGTCATCTCGTCTTTGTAATAAGACTCCTGCAAACCTATTTAATGATGCATCCATATGCATTATAAATGGTTTGGAGTAGTCTGGATGAAAAATTTGTAATTTATTTATAAACATATCCTTTAAATTTTTAAAAGCATCTTCATGTTCCTGTTCCCATTTCCATCTAACCCCTTTTTTAAGTAATTTTAATAAAGGTACCTCAAATTTTGACAAATCTGGTAAGTCTTTTAAAATAGTTTATTACCCCTAAAAATCCTCTCAAAGTTTTCAAATTATAGGGTCTTATATAGTTTTTAATTGTCTCTACTCTATCTTTACATATTTCAATTCCTTTGAAATTTATTTGGTAACCCAAATATGCTACTTCCGTTTGTACAAATTCACATTTCTTAATATTTATTTTAAGACCAGCATCATCTAAAGCTTTCAATACTATGTTCAAATGTGTCATGTGTTGTTCTATTGTTTCTGAGAATATTAATATGTTATCTATGTAGTGTAATACAAAATTATCGCATCTATTTAAGATTTTATGCAGGGCTCTAACTAATGCAGCACAAGAACTCTGTAAACCAAATGGCACAACATTAAAATGGAATAGGTACTTCCCCATCTATCATAAACCCTGTATATTTTCGACTTTCTTCCTCCAAAGGAATTAATCAAAAACTATGTTTTAAATCTATTTTAGAAAATATTTTTGGATTCGTTATTCTACCTAAAATTACCTCAATTGACAATGGTGCTTCATATTGAGGTATAGTACATCTATTAATATTTCGTGCATCTAACCAAATTCTAATATCTCCATCACTTTTTCTTAACAATAACTATTGGATTAATATACTGAGTCCTACTTCTTGGTATGATATTGTTCCGCAATAAATTATTTATTTCTTCTTTTACATTATTTTTATATTTGTATGGTATTGAGTAATTCTTTGATTTAAAATTTCATATGTCTCTTACTATTTTGTGAATATAATTCTCTGCAACTCGAGTTTCCTTCATACTTTCCTAATAATTTTTTTACCTCATTTACACTTTTTTCTTCATATTTAATGTTTATATCATTTATATTTATCTTTTCACCTTCGTAATTATCAATTAACTCTTCTTCATCTTCATACTCTTCATTTTTATACCAACTTCATTATTATCCGCATTTTTTTCTTCATAATCACACAATTCATTACTTTTAATTACCTCATACATCTTTTTACCTTCACCCTCTAACTTACACTCACTCTGTTGATTTGAATTTTCATCACTTAATATATTATTTGTAAATTCTATTACCTTCCCATATAATTTTATAACTTTCTTTTGATAATCAATTATAAATTTATGTTATTCAATTCATCATTGCCAATAACTATACCACTATCTAAAATAGGTACTATTAAAAGTTGTAAATTTACATCTACTTCATCTATCCTAACATTTATACTTGCCAATTTTGAAGATTCATATAGTTTTTTATTATTTTCCCCTACTAAATTTATTTTTGGAATTCTTATAATTTGGAAATTTAAATTTTGATGTTGTTATAAAACTTTCTTTAATTAATGATGCTTCAGATCCAGTATCTACCAATAGTTTTACTAATATATTATAAACTTTACCCATTAAATATACTATTAATTGTTTTTCTTCTTTTTGTTTTTGGTTACTTTCTTGTTGAATATATTCGCGTGGATGTTCGTATATACAAAATAGGGAATCTACATTTGGTTTACTACTTATTAAAAATTTTGTACTACATCAGTGTTTTGTGTATTACTGGTTGTCTGCATTTGATGGTTTCTGTCCATTGAACTAGTCATTAGTGTGTTCGCGTCATTTCTATTGGAATCTTCATTTTCCCAGTAATAAATAACACTAGGTCTTTCATATCTTTGAAAATTTACCTGTCTCTCTTGACCATCACGAATTTGTCTGTCTTGATTTTGGTATCGTCCTGTATTTTGTTGTGGATTGTTAGTATTAAAATTCGTACTATTACTTTGTCTAAAATTGTAATGTTGTTGTCGGTTCCTATTGTTATTGTCATTTCTGTTTTGGTTATTTTCTAAATGATTGCCAAACCTTCTGTAATTACTATTCTGGAATCTATTACTAGAATTTTGATAATAATTGTGCTGTCCGTCTTGATTTACATTATCATTATTTAATCTCCTATTAGTACCAAATCTATTAGTGTAATTATTATTATTATTCGTGCGTATATTATAATTTTGTCTATCTCGTATATTGTTTGTGTTATGTTCAAAGTAATTTATGTTTCTTTCTATCCTACTTAAATAGACACATAATTCATCCATATTGTTGATGTTATGTATAGCCAAATTTTCTGCAATTTCTGGCTTAAAATGTCTTGATATGTATAAAACTATTTCACTTTCTAACATTGGTGGACTTAAATACTTTGCTTTTGTATACAACTGTAATGCATATCTAGATAATGGTGTTTTCCTTGCATAATCATATTTCCCAAATATATAAATTTTCCCTGACTTTGTTTTGTATATAATTACCCCAAAAATAGTTTAAGAATAATCTTTCAAAAGTTTTTTCATTTGTAATGTCTTGTTCTTTACTATTAAACCAAATCAAACTTTCGCCTGTTAAATTTTCCCGAATAATTTATTTTATTTCATCAAAATTTTCTACATACTTAATTTTGTTTTTAATAGATTTTAAAAATACTACAGGATGTATTTGTTGTATCGAGTCATCATATTTGTGTGTATTGTTTATATTTGAACATATGATAATTTTAGTTTGTGTCGTTTGTTGTTGTAGTTCCCTTAATTTCACTCATTAATTCTTCTCTTATTCGCAGTATCTCTTCATTGCTTTGTATTTCTTCGCCATTGTTTGTTCCTTGTCTTCTTATCTGTTGTTCTACTATATCTAGTCTCTCTCTATTTTCTTGTAAATTTGTATCCAAGTTTGTCATTTCTTTTTCTACTTCTTTCTTCTCTTCTTGTGTATTCTTTTGGATTTCTTTTATACTTTCCCATATTTGAAGTGTTCTCTTGTTTCCTTCTATTTCATACTTGTTCACCTTTTCTCGGTCTTCTTCAATTTTCTTTTCCACTAGTTTTATTTTGTTTTCCATCTCATTTTTAAACTTCTCCCTTTCTTCTTTAAATTCCTTCTTTATCTTCCATATTTATATTGATTTGATCTGCATTTTTCTGTATTAATACTTCTAATTCTTCTAATTTATTTTCCTCTATCTCTTTTTCTCTCCTACGTTCCTCCTTGTCTTCTCTTCTTTGTTTTTCTCTTTTTTCTTCCATTTCCTTATTTTGTTTTTCCCTTTTTTCTTCCATTTCCTTGAATATTTCCATTAAACAATCCATATTTGAGGTTTTTCTTCCAGTCTCTTGCGATTCCATTGTTTCTGTTCCACTTTCTATACCACATTCTTCCTCTTCTCTTCTAGATACAGTTCCACTTCGTAGATCCATTTGTCTTTTATTTAAGTTTTCCTTACGTTTATTTTTTCTTCTACGCTCTACTTCAGTTTTAGTCTTCTCGCCTTATTTCGCCTTTTTGTAGCCTTTTTCGCCCCACGTTGGGCGCCAATTTGTAATACTATAAATAATTATTAAATTTTATGTTATATTGATGATAACTTAATTGTTTTTGATATTTGTTATGAAATGAAAAATTTAATGTTATAGCCAAATTATAGTATTATAAAGATCAAGTTTATATGTGAAATGTATTAAATTTGTTTAAATTTTGTTTTTTTTTATAGTATTCTTAAAATCCATAAAAATTATATTCTATACTTACCCCAAAGAAGCTCTTTTAATATCACACTTAATTTTGATTTTTAGTCTTTAAAGATAACTTAAATTTTTTATATAATTTTTTTTTATTTATTCTCAAACTATAATTGAATGATAAAAAAATTTTATCGAGCACTTGAAATCTCAGTAGTTGGTTCGAAAGCTATTGAAATTTTTTATAAAAAAAATTATTAGGTATTTAAATTTGTTTCTTTGTTTTTAAAAAAATAGGAATGCTTAATTGAGTTTGAATTTTGTGTATTATCCCAACAGTTAACAATTTATAACAATCTTTCCTAGATCCCTATCTACCCTAAGATAGCTAAATTCTAATTTCTTATTCTATACAATTTTTTTTTATGATTACCTATCCTACACTTTGTTGTCTATTTATCTGTGTTTTCTTACTCGTGATGTCCTTTCTGTCTTCTCCTTCCTGTATCCTATCCTTTCTTTCCGTCTTTGAACTCTCCTCCAATTTGTCTTTTCTTCCTTCTATTTGCTACTCTCCTCCTTAGATTGCTACTGTCTGCATCACCTCTCCTGGCCTTTCCTTTTCTATTTGTCTACGACAATGAAAATAATATTTTAATTACCTGACAGTATTGTACTTTTCTTGGTTTATCTGCCAGTTTCGATTTAAACCAACTTTCCTTTATGCCGAATAAATTATTTCATATTTCTTGACTCTTCCTGGTTGCTTCTTTCTTATTTGTTTTTAATTGTCCTACACTGTCGCTGTGCTGAATGCTTTGCTGTGTTTTACTCTGCCACTCTTCCTCTCTTCAATACTTGCTCTTTTCTTGTTATTTTATGGGATTCCTTTTTTTTAATCTTCAGTAATTTTCTTCAATTCTTTTGATTTTCAACTTATTTTAATGACTCCAATTTTAATATCTTCCAATTTGACTTTTCCTTTCTTAATTCTCCTCTCACTATTTATTTTCGTCTCCTAGATAACCACCTTTCTTTTTTCCTTATCTCTATTATCTCTACTTACAATAATTTGGGATATATCGTATTCAATATCAACCAACCTTTATTAATTTATACAATTTTATTTTACCAAATTGAATACCTTTTAATTCCTTTTTTAACTACATTGCTTTCTTTTATAGACACTTTTGCTTCCTCTATACAGAAATTTAATTCTACTTTTACTATTATATTACATTGTCAAATTTCATCCCGCTGTCAACTAAATCATCTTTACTATCTTGTCACCATCTATCTACATGTCATTATTTATTGTATTTCAATTTCTACTTGTTACAATATATAGGTATATATATATATACTACAAACAAAATTTCTGGTTAAATAATTGGATAATGTAGTCTTGGGAAAAAATAATAAAGGTTGAAAACTCTTTATTTCTGCTCAAGCTAAAAGAGAGATAAAGAGTTTTCAACCTTTATTGTTTTTTCCCAAGACAATATTACCCAATTATTTAACTAGAAATTTTGTTTCTTAACTAGCTAGTCGCTAATACTTAACAACTATATATATATATACGTCATATCCGTTACAGCCATTTTGTAAACTAGAGTCACTGTCAATTAGTTGACATAATTTCGTTTTTAACCACACTTTTTAGCCGGTCGTTTAGTTGAAATTTTAAGAATATTTACCATTCAATTTTGCAAATTTTGGTGATTTTTATTTGCAAAACTTAAGTTTTATTACTTACGTGGTTTAATTGTATAGTAAAGTTTTGCTTTTCACTGTTCATTAATAACTTCGGCTCGTGATAGAGTAATTTGTTTTTTGGAATTTTCTTTTGCATATTTTAACTTTTGCAATGTTTGGTAGAATTATTATTGTATTTTTTGAGCTTAAATTATGTTTTCACCTACAGGGTGATATTTTTGTAGTTAATTACCACCAGATATTTTTTCTTACGTACTTTATAAATTCTTGCTTTTTTAAAATATTGTATGTTGTTGGTGATCTGGCTTATAATTATTTTACATGTAAACCTGCTCTGGCCCTCTGACTCAACTACGAGGAATATCTAGTATTCGTAAACAGCCTGGGATTTGATAATTGTGTAAGCAACTGTCATCCGTGCCACCACTGTAGCTGTCGCTGGTTCCTTCCATTGCCATAAACCATTGCCGTCCACCACCATTGGCTTCCACGCACATAGCTATACCCCATCATTTGGCATGGAAGGTTCCAGTCCATTCGACTAGCCCAACAATAATTTTGATGCACTTGGAGGCAGGCAACCTGTTATCCAGTGAACTGTTTTGGTGAGGTGTTTTCGTGTAGGCCAGAAGACTTAACTGCAGATCACTCTGTTCATGTATAGCTGCTCTGTTCCTTACTGTCAATTAATTGTTGGAATCAATATTTGCATAACTTCACAATTTTAAAGTAATTTTAATATAGAGTAGAGTTTGTAAAAAAATTGCAATTGTATCTAAATCTGATATGTTTAATGTTTATTACATTTTTAATGTTTATTAAATTTTTTTCCTAAATTTTTTTTATCAGTTCTAATTTTCTTAGTCTATAAATTAGTACAAGTGGTAAATCACCTGGCGCCTAAATAAGTGAATAGCAGGGACATAGGTTTCATATCTTACTGAAAATGATCCCCCCTTGACCCCTGAGTTGGCTGGAGCTATTTTTGAACTTCCACAGAATTGCCAATTATTCAATATAGGTGGAAATATAGGTGGAAATTCAATATAGGTGGAAGCCTAGAGATTACTCTAGGGAAGTTTCATGTCAAAATGTAGACTTTTTGCTTTTCTAAGAAGTTGACGATAAATTCTTTTATAATTGTTATAATATTCACTACTAACCAAATTATTTCGATGCATATGAAATAATTCTTTCAATTTACTAGATGATACTTTTAAACCTCTTGTTAGCCACTCATTTTTATTGGAACTCATATCTTTTGAAACGTATGGAAAACATGTGTTATAGTCTCCAAATATCTTAATAAAAACCTCAAACTTTTTATTAACAGTTTGACATTTATAAATGGTTTGCCAAGTTTCAACTTTCAATAACTGTTCAAACTTTAGAATACTATTTCTAGTAAAAGACCTGAACCTAATTTCTTCATTTTTAATTTTGGCGGGAATATCCGAAATATCTAAATGATCCGAAATACCAATATGAAGAACACTTGCCAAATATATATTTTCATTGAAATTTGTTGCTATATAGTCTAAAGCAATAGCAGAGTCTTTACATATATGAGTGGGTTCTTTAAAAACTGATTTAATGTTATTTGAGTTAAATATATCATTTAATTTCATAGTTTTATTATTTTCAACCAAATAATCAATGTTTTTATCTTCATACACAATTATTCTGTTGACAGTATTAATATTAGTAAACATATTTAAACTAAATTCAAATTTATCAAAAAAAAACGTTGATATCAGCTTTTGGTGATATATATATAACACACAAATCATAAACTTTATCTATACTTAAGTTTACAATATGTTTTATTTCACAGGCATTTAAGTTTTTTATAACTAATAAAAGCACACTTTCACCTCCATGTTGACAATTTTTTCTACAATATTGTAACTTGGAATTTTAATATATCCAATTTCACCTTCCTTAATCCAACTTTCAGTTATACACATGACTTCCGGACATTTGGATGATAGAAACACATCTACTAATATCTCAATTCTTTATACTTTGCATGATTTGCCTTTACCTTTATATATATTTTACCATAATAATAATAATAATAATAATAATATCTCTAGTCTTACTGTCCCATCAACACACTTAAATAAAACATTTAGATCCAAGGGGAAACAATTCCTGCTTTAATATACCCTCCACTCGCCCTCTGGATCCTTTATTCCTCCACTTTTAAATTGAACATCGGTTTTGTATGTCAGACTTTAGGTGCTCTTTTATGGGACATCGCTCCATTGTGTTTGAAATCGTGCTTCATATAAAGTCTCTTAAGAGCCCCTGAGGTCTGGAGACGTAATACTTTTCACAGTTTCGTCAAAGTATTGCTTAATTTGCATTACACAGCCGTTTACGCTTGTAGCACCCATTCAAGAGCTCGAAGAGCACTATATTATATTTTTGTATACTTTCTGCATTCTGCGCCATTGTTAATAAAAGCAAAATGATGTCACTGTCTTAAAATTAGGTTATGCATCACTCGTCAAAGGGAATATTGATTTAAATTGCCGAAGTTCGAAGAGACAATATTATGTGCAGCACTGTCGTAGCAAGACAAGTAGTCCAATATATTGAAATCAAGTTTGTTACGTAAAATTTGATTGATGGTGTTAACAAGAACAAATAAGCACAATAAGAAGCCAAGGAATTTGTTTATACCGACCTGAAATATTTCTGTATCGCTGGGCTTTCTTAATGCTCTACTTCGCATTACATTTTCTGACCGGGAACGCGCCGGGCGGCGGACCACAGAGCGTGCGAACGTTGAAGCGAAACAGCTGATTTCCCCAGTCGTCTTGAATTTTACAATTCGTTTCAAATCAATGTGCATCGAACCCCAACTTTATTAACAAAATGCTATGGACGGATGAGTTTTGTTTTAGCCGTACTGGCATTTTAAAAAGGTAGGTACCTACTTACCTACTTTACTATTCTTTGAAAAGCAGTAAGTCGCTAGATACGTAGTACGAACTGAATAATTAATTGAACATAAT